CCATAACTAAGGAAAACTACAGCATCAAATTAAACGTATATATTATTACCACCAGGGTGTTGAGATGTAGGTCACAATCTCTTTCAGGTCAAGAGCTACACTTGGCTTTTTGAGTGAGACACTGGTAAAAAGGAAATATCTCTTTCAAGTTGAACTAGGCTCCTGGTAACTTCATACACATGTCCATGTAGTTTCCTTGGCAGCAATATGGAAGTGGTTCAACATTGCTTTCTTCTGGGAGGTCTACCAACTTCACCAACTGCCCCTGTATTTTTGCGTCATCTCCCCCTTGAGGACTAAATGGGTCTGATCCTACATAATTTAAAAGAGAGAGAGAGAGAGAGAGAGGGAGAGAGAGAGAATAAAGTCTCCTATGAATCAAGATTGAGTCCTGGTGGCACCTCCATGTTATTTTCTTGCAACAGCATAGAAGTGGTTTGCCATCACTTTCTTCGGGGGTGGCTTTTTAAAAACTTTCCAGTCTATCCTACAGCCTTGGGACTGGGAGTACACCCTTTTGGACAGCTTGTCAAAGTGGGAGGAACCTGGATAAAAAACTACATGTTGTTTTGTTTAAATGCCATCAAAATAAAAATCAGTACAGTTGGCATGTTTATTGCCTATGTTTTGTCTTTCAGTCACATTTAAAATAACCATCTGGTGGGAAATATGTCTTCCAGTGTTTCAGAAATTTCCATATTTTCCTGGGACTCCAGGCTGTGTTCTAATGATCAGAGTTTTAGCACTGTTGTCCCTGACAACAATGACAGCTGCCCTCCCAATGTCTTGGACTACAGCTCCCATAAACCCTTGCTATGCTGGCTCTGAATTTGTCATATGGAGGTCCAGCACATCTGGAGAACACAAGATTGTCCTAAATCATCTCTTAGGATTGTCCTCTAAAACTCTGTGAAAGGTTCACATGATTGACCATTTTATAGAGAACTATGCAGTCTCAGGACCATGAAAGACTTGGATTCAGCAGCAAGAACCCTCCAAAAGTTGCCACCAAATTGGAAGGGAGGGAATTATTGATATTTAATTAAATGAAATCCAATTTAGGCTTTGTCCAGGCTCTACTTATATAAATTTTGAGAGTGTGACCCTCAACATACCAGTCAAAAACTAAATGTGGTCTTCAGTACAGAGAAAGTGGTGCCCTCTGATTTAATAGCAAATGAATAATGGTAAAGGAATTAGGAAAGACATTTCAGAATTGAAGAGCAATAATGGGGAAAAAAACCCAACAGTCTTACATATCCACACGCTGGGGTTTAGACAATGAGGATATGAGCTGGGACACAAAGCACTTTTTTTAAAACCATTAACACTTCTTGTGATGTCACCATCTTGCTCTGTGTTTTGGCCCATCATGGGCACAAGGAATTGAAGGTTACTCCAAATCTTGACAGCCCAGTATTGTCTCTATCACTTGTGAAAAGCAGATTAGCTTCAAGGGCACATGGCAGGCTACACAATATCAGACCTCCTCTCTCCATTGAGAGGTACGGCTGATGGGAGCAGGAAATTCCACATGGCCAGCTATTCAGCTCTGAGATGGCCACTTCAGATTGCCAAATGGTAGGCCCAGCCCTGATTTCCAACCATCTCCCTTTTTCTCATAGATGTGCAGGTCAAATCACATGTAAACATTATGAAATATTGAGATGGACTCAGTTCTTACCACTTCAAGATTCCAGGCTAAAATTCTAGGTTCTAGTTGGGGAAGAGTAATTTTACCAGGCTCAGAACCCATTCAATTCTCAGGCCCATGAGATATAGGGATACATAGGAAGACCTATAAGGTGAAATATAGAGAGAAAGGGCTTGCTAATTTATAAAATAATAGCAAGCATTCAAGTAGGTGGATGGTGCTGGAGAGGTGATGGGTCTGGTCCCATAGGTGGAGCCTAGAGAAGGTCTAGGGTAAGTTGGAAAAGGTCTGGAGATAACTACCCATGATTAGGTAGTTATTGCAGATATCCTGAAACTATTCTCAATCAAGCCATCATGCTTGGTAAATTAATTCTTTTCTTATGTTATACAGCCATCAACTCATTCATTTCAGAACTCTTTCAATGGATGCACCACTAGATGTCCTGAAGGACCAGGTTGGGGACGGATTGTCCTAGAAGAAGTCTTTTTATGTGGTAATTAAAAGTCCACACTGACTTGATGTCATATAACCAATTAATCAATCTCATTCAAGGTTTGTCAATTGTGGGTTATGGCTCCATGAGATATGTGTGAACTCCTTATTCTAATTGAACAAGCCACAGCTGTTATCATCATGTCCAACATGCTTTAGCAGATCCTGCACTGAGTAGGAGGTTAGACTGATGACTCTGAAGACATTTCCAACTCTGTGATTCTGTGTGAGATCCTGGCTGGTATCTCTCTGCCCTTTCAGCAAACAATGATCTGACTTTATGAGCAGAAGTCAAGGTGGACCAATGTCACTTGGTAAAGGATGGAGTTGTATGGCTTTTGTTCTCTGCCTGGAGAACAATGTGGGATGTCTTTAGAGGGTGAGTGCTGCCAGGTTCAGGCCATTCACAGGCTAGAATAGTATTCTAATTTAAATTAACATATTTATGTTAATAACAGATTGATGTGTTTATTAGTTTATTTTTTATTTCTAAAAGGAGCACAAGCAGGCATCTGATGGACTACTAAGGCACCAGCCATTTTGAGGTCCTCTTTGCCTTAAACTCCTGCCTGCTCTAGCTAGTTCCTCATAAAAACTTTATAATGAAGATCTGGCCTTTGAAGGATTTTTTTCCTTTCCAATCCTTTTCCTTTTGATGATGTGTCTTTTTAAAATTATAAACTTAAGGGGTGGAGTTATTAATACTAAGCTTTATCAGCTAATCAAAGAAGACCTGTTGGCTAAAAAGCAGAATACAAATGGAATGAATGAGTTCACCTGAATGATGATTGAGGTGCAGTATTAACCATAGTGTGTGTGTGTGTGTGTGTGTGTGTGTG